AGGAATGTCTACTTTCACCAGTTCAGTTTGAGGTCCTGTTTATGAAATTGCCACAGTTACTTAAATTGGTTATGTAGATGGCATAATTCATCTGAATATCAATTTGGCAGAAGAGCAGATTCCCATTCATGATCCTTGTATATATTTTGTGACTAGAACCAATAATTCATAAAAGTAATGAAGTATGTAATCTTTCTTCATTTTTAAAGAAAAAAATGAAATTGTCAGAAGACGATGATGAGGATGAAGATGACGACGACGACGACGATGATGAGTGTGTATTTTTTTTTTTCTTATTTGTTTCCATGGTGGTTTTTGAACTTGTAGTTTCAGGCGTAATTATTTCAACATGAAACAGCCATAGCATAATTGGATCCTGATATTTTGTTTAGGGTTTGCTTTTCATTATACTAGGATAATCTCTACTCCTTGGAAATGTCTAATTTCAAAATAAGGTTACTGATATCCTAATTAATTCCAATACTGACTTGTTGGAAAAGTTACTGGAGGTTTCATTTGAAAAAACATGCAAGAATCGTTTTAGATAAATGTTACAGATCAGTTGGTAGAACATGAATAATTTTCTGAGGCAGATAAATGGATGTAGAAGCATTGGCTGGAGTGATTCCAAGAGTCAGTGTACAGTCCCAGAGTTACATGGTCAGTTGAAAACAGACTTGATCTGAGATGAGATTTGGCTTTGTGGTTATTAGAGATGGAAGAGTGGTCTCTCCAGTAAGAAAACATCTGAAGTTTTTAAAACATTATCATTTTAATTTTGAACACTCCTTTTAAATTGGTGGGTCCAGCTTATCAGATAACCAATTTGATGTTGAAAGATGCATTCAAGCTCCTAGGGACAGAAATTGCACACAAACCAATATAAGTGACTGGAAGAAGGTTCAGATCTGTAACACAACGTTAGTTCAGTGCACATAAACCACTTTCAAAATGGCTGAAACCTGTTTAGATAAACCTGGATGGATGTAGTATCAGACTTGACTGATCTAGTTCGAATTGATTTACTGAACTCCTGTCCCAGATCTCCTCCAGATTCAAGATAACTCTGTCCCCTGGCATCCCAGGATGCTTTGTACCTTCTCTGCAAATCCCTCCTTGCAGGTTGGGCAAGGTAGCCTTGGCCCAAGGTGTCTGTTCCAGCTAAACTGGGAGGCGTGCTCTAGTGCAGTGTTTCTCAACCCCGTGGGTCATGACCAGGGATCCGGGTTTTCCATTTCCCATGGAAAAATGGAGAAAACCACGGATTCCCTGTTTTTATTGGAGAAAACACGGATTTCTCTTTTTAGCAGAGAAATCCGTGGATTCTCTGCTTTTGCAAAGAGCTCTTGCAGGCTGGCACAACTCCAGCCTGCAAGAGCCGATTTGCAAAAAAGGGCAGGAAACCCCCAGCCCTGGCTGGAGGGAGAGGGGGGAGGGCGGGGTCTAAGTCTCTGAAGCAGCCAAGCGTGGGCTCAGGTTCAGACTCTCCCTTTGCCCCTGGAGCATGGAGGCAAGTGGGGCTGTGGGGCAGGGCTGGGGAAGATGGTTGGGGGCTGAGGGAGCAGGAGGTGCTGCCGGCCCCAGGCGGCACATCACAGCTGGGAGCAGGGCCAGGGGGTGAGGGCAGGGGTGCCCCTCTGCCAGGGGTGCTTTGTAGGCAAGTGATACGAGGCGCAGTGTGGTGGTGCCTCCCATGTGCGGGTCGCACACATGCTGCCCAGCCAGCTGCCCTGGGGAGGGGGAGAGGGAGGCTGGCATGTGGCTGGAGCACAGATCCATGGCTGGCTCTGCAGCCGGGGTGGGGAGTAGGGCTTGGGCTTGCACGTGGCAGCTGCTGGCACTTACCTGGAGGCTCCTGACGCTGGTAACGGCTGCTGCTTCCAAAAACTCCTGCTG